GAACTCTGATCACTTGCAAATTTTTGCTTTTGATTGTATCCCACATAATTCTCAGGGTCTCCTCATTTTTCTTTGTTCTTTTTTTCTGATTTTTCCTCAAACAGAGTTGTATCTAAGTGTTTGTCTTCAAGTTCACTAATCCTGTCTTCCACCGTTTCAAACCTGCTCCTCAGCCTTTCTATGACACTGTCCATTTCTGAAATCTTGTTTAACTTTTTGATTTCTAATTGTTGTTTTTGTATGATTTCTAGTTGTGAATTTATTTTGGAAATTTTTTCCTGCATTATTTTCCTGGATTCTTCTGTTTTTTTGTCTGTATTTTCCATGAATTTGTCTGCTTTTTCCATGAATTTGTCTATTTTTTCCTCATTTTTGTCTGCTTTTTGCTTCATCTATTGGATAGCTCTGAATATTCGAGATTTGAATTCCCTATCGGGTAGTTCTAGTGCCTTTTCTTCTACTGGAAAGTCATCTGGTGTTTTATTGTGGACGCCTACTGGAACCATCGTGTCCTGTTTTTGTAAATGTTTTGATATTGTCTGCTATCTTTGGGGCGTTCAGTAGTTATTTTCTTCATTTATTGATTGTAGATTTGTTTGTTTTGTCCTGATTTTTTGTTTTATTTGGTTATGTCTAAGCAGGTGGGCTGTGTGTTCTTTGTTGTTTGCTCGTTTGTGGACACGATACTTTTTGCCTCCTTCTCCAATTGGCAGGGTCAGTAGCTCAGATATGGTACAGCAGGGCAGGTCTAGCTGAAGAGGAGTTGCTGGGATGGGTTGTTCGTGGCACATACTAGGACCAACAGGGCGGGTCAGTAATCAGTGCAGTGCAGGTTCTGGTAGGCCATGCCTGTGCTGCTTGGGGGTGTGATGTTCAGCACATGGTGCAGGTAGGCAGAGATTGTAATGTGTGGAGCTAAGATGGGTATGGGAAAAAGGAGAGAGAGGAGAGACGAACAGTAGCCAAAAACATACAAACAAACAAAGAGTGCTAAGGGAGCTTGCTGTTGGAGTGGAGCAATGAGAGACTGAGAAATGGAGAAAAACAAAAAGAAGAAGAAGAAAAAATTGAATAAATAAAAATTAGAAAGAAAAGCAAAGCCCCCAGGGATCCCACTGGTGCAGCTGCGAGGTCTGGGGAAGTTGCTCCCAGGCCGTGAAGTACAGCCTGGCAAAAGGGGTAGAGGTGTCACTCAGCACCAGGTATTTAGGAGACAGGAAGAGAAGGTAA